AAAATATTCACAGTCCAGTCACTCCATTTGTATTTGAACAGGAATTCATAAGTCCTTCATTAGGTACCGGGACTCTGGTCAATATTGACCTCAACTTCTGCCTGTTCAGTTGTGGCACAATGGGGTAAAACCAGCACTGGCCACTTCATATTTAAGATGTTGAAGGGTAGTTTAAGTTTTACCTCCTTTAAGTCATTATTTTTTCTTCTGAGACTATCTTTACCACTTTGCTAGTGGTAGTGACCTTTCCTAGTCCCTGGAAGAAAGAAAGCTTGCGCTTGTAAAATAATGCCACTGGAATTTGTTAGCACTTTTCTATGTGCCCTTTATAAGGTGAAAAGTGATTTTTCACAGTGATTTAAATGCAGGACTTTATGAAAGTGAAGTTCTCGTGTGAAGTTGCTTATGATAACTATCTTGTAGGGCAAAACTTACTGCAGAACTATGTAATAACAAAGATGTGGCATACATTTTTGTACAGAAATACTCATGTAGAACAAAATAATATAACTGATGAAGACTGACTGTACTTACAGATGATGTGTATGCCTTTTTTATTTGATCTCTTTAAAATACTTCACCAGGTTAGGATTTTGCTTTTTCAAGATGCAAGTTATTTCTGTGTAAGAATGATGTGATTTAGTAATTGTAGGTTGGTTCAATAGTTAGTGATTCATTTTGTTAGAACACGGTCCACAGAAAATGCATGGCTTTGTCTGAGCAGTTCAGAGATGGTGCAGTGCAAGTTATGGTCTCAGCCTTAATTGCACACTCAAAGTGCTTGTCTGGTTGCCCAGTATGAAACAGGTTGTGGATGTGAGAAACTGGAGGTATCTGATCCTATCGATGATTAGCTGAGTAACTCTCTCTTCTGGATGTTAGTACCCACACTTCAGTCTTTTAGTAATGAGGTGGTGGGACCCAGAACAAACTCCTAAGGTAGTTCATATGCAAGGAAAATTTCATTTTAATAATATTTCATTAAAGAAAAAGAGAAAAAAACGGGGTTTCCAAAATCTTAACACCATAGTAAAATAAGAGGAACATAGTTAAAAACCCCTCACAGCATTACAGAAAGTACATAGTGCTTTTCTTCCTGCTGTGAAATGAAATCAGTGGAACATAATGCTTATGAGAAGAGACAAGTAATGAAGGCAGTGAATGTTACAGCAAAACTAATGAAGTAGTTAGTCTTCGATAGCTCATGTTAATTCAAGAAGTTGAGGGTAACTAGTTAAAGTAATGCAATCAACAGGTCACTTCAAAATCTGTAGTTGTGTGTGCTGTCTGGATATTTTTCTTATAAGAAAGGAAGCTCAGATCAGTCCTAAGTTGTACTGCTTAAATAGTTTTCAAGAAAAAGATTTGTCATCTGTATGTTTAATCCATTATAAGTTTCTGTTTGGAAACTATTTAGGCTACTTTTGGCTGACTTTGACCAGCCTATGCATGTTTGAAGAAACATTGACTAAATATTTAACATTGTGCAGGGCCGTTTTGTGAGATTGGCAACAGATTTTTGCCTCCCCTGCTCCTCATCCCCAAGTCAGATAGTTGAGAGTCTTGGCTGATACATAACATCGTGGGGTAACATGTGTCCAGAGACTTTGGCTTTGAGCAGCATGTGTGGTGTTAGAAAACAGCGCTAGTGTCTGTATGAATGTGCTTAGGTGTGAGAGAAGCAGAGTGCTGGTAGTCCAGGCTTGAAGGTTCACCATCAGGGAATACTGCTACTTGATATCACTGTAGCTGTGTTTGCTATCTTAAAAAAAAAAAAAAAAAAAAAAAAAAAAAAAAAAAAAAAAGCTAATCATTGTCTTTTTTTTTTTTTTTTAAGGAACCCTGGGATGGTTGCAGTCTTTTTGTAGTTGTTAACAATAACATGTATTCACCCTGTGCTCAAAAGTGTACTAAATAATATCAAGAAAGTAAGTCAAGACTGGCTAAACTGGAAGTAAGATAGAGTAAGGCTGAGGGGGGAGTCAGAGACCGCAGGGAAGAGGCTGTACAGGGAAAGAATTGTATCTACGTTCAGTCTTGTGGTACAAGGGTGAACAGGTGGTTATAGACATCTCCATGTGATTTTTAACTTTTTCACATGTTGGGGCATGTTGAGGGGAGGGGTGTGGGCACCGTGACAGCGAGGGCAGGAGGGAGCAGTGGGAGGCAGGACGAGTAGCAAGAACTGGGGTTTGGAGAGGGGAAAGGCACTGGCTGATTGATGTTGGTCAGAAGATGAGGAAGGAGGAGGGAATGAAGGAGGGAAGGAATGGACTGGTGGCATTTTAAGACAGTGAGAAAAAAGCTGGCAGTGTTGAGGAAAGTGTATATGTGCCCTGGATAGCAAAGCTGGGCAGGTTTTAGTTGGGTGCAGCAGGCTGCTAGCGCGGCCTTTGTGCCCCTCCATCTGGGGAAGGGCTGTGCCAGGACAGCTTGGCTGCTGCCACTCATGGCACAGCTGGCCTGGTCTCTGCTCTTCTCAGAGCCATGCGGTGGCGACAGCACAAGGTTCTGTTTTTTCTTTTTATCTTCTGTTACTGTAGCTGGGGAAGAGAAATAATATCCAACAGTGTTATGTATAGTTCCTGCTACAGTGCAGAAGTGAATGTGACATTCTCATGACCAGCAACCCAGCAGCTGAATGCAAGAGGAATAAAAATTTGTCAAGCATTTTGAGTGCTAAATTCATGCAAGATTTTCTTGATCGCCTCCTGGATTATTTTTTAGTGGAATTGGTATATACAATGACTTGAAATACATGTGAAGTCTGATATGTGAAGGAGGGAAGGGGTAGATACACTGAATAAAGACTGTGTGTTGTGTGTTCCTCGTGTATCAGGCAGCACCTACAGAGAAACAGGACTGTTCCATGCAGATGCCAGCAGGCAAATGTCTCTGTGCTTTGATAACACACTCCTACAAAAGTTACAGGACTTTGGGGTTTTGTCTTTGCATTTTCAACTTCAGCTGCTATTATTGTGAGCTGCTGGTAAGCAGCAGAAGAGTGGTGGACTCTCCTTCCCTTGTACTCTCCCACAGATATGTGCAGCACTCTGATGTAAACCAGCCCCAATTTTGTCTCCTTTAGTCACAGAAATTGTTGTTTATAGATGGAAGTTAATCCCATTTAAGAACTGGATTAGCAAAGTTGTAGTCATTTAACCACAGATGCCTGAACTCGGGTTGAGGCAGTTCTCAGATAGTCCTGGCTGGGATTAATGCTCTGCAGACATTCTGGATTGAGACAGTTTCATGGCAGGCCATGTACCACCAAGGTGTAAATCTAACAGAGCTCACCATGACAGCAGTTGTATGCTTGGCCTGCTAAATGACTGTGGAGTTTGTAGAAACAAAGGCAAGTAAAAGATCTTTGTGTGTTTTGTGAGCCTAACTTCCTCAGAGAAGTGAATTATAAAGATAACATGGAAGATGGCTGATGCTTTGCTGTCTTGGGTTATTGGGGTGTGCCGGTAATTACTGCAGAATTTCCCCAGGCTCCAGCAAGATCTGCTCCTTTTAAGGGTTAACAGGCTTGGGGTGGCTGGTTTGATTGGCACTTGTGCTTTTATCATCCCTCTTCTCTCAAATTCCTTAAAGGTATTTATCTCTTTAGGGACATATTGATAAAGGCACATTAGCAAATCCTGGAGCCTGAGCCTACAAAGGTAGGAGCAAACGTAGGAAGAAAGATTAAGATCGGTCTGTTTTAAGGGGGATGGGACAGGGGATCCCCTGCTCACTGAATAAAGACATTATCTGCTTCGGACAGTGGTGAGACAAATGTGTCTATCTCAAGCACAGTCCCTATTCAGTTCAGTTAAAATTCTTCCTTAAGGCAGGGCAGCAGAGACAGATTTTGAAATAGTTGTATCGTGTTTTAAAAAAACCCACAAAAACCACCAGAAGGAACTGATCAGGTCAAACAAATGTGGCTATCAAGATAATGAGCTTTTAAAGATTAACAATGTTAACAAAGTTGTAGGATGAAGCAAGAACAATCCAAAATACGGGTTTTACTTGGGGCTCCTCTCCCCCTTCCCCCGACCGCAACACAAAGTAGATGCTTTTCAGAAATAAAAGATGGATAGCAGCAGTACTATGGGGAGCCACTTAGTAAGGGCAGTTTGTATTTTTTATAGATAAAAATGTAGAAGTTGAACCCAGAATTGCTTTTATAGTAATGCATAAAATATGTTGTTAATGTCTGTGTAGTAATCTGCACAGGCATGGTGTGCATTTTCCATTGGGAACATTTGAAAACTCTTTATGCTCAGTTCCTAAAGGTGCATTTGTACAATGTAGGGTAAGGCTGTATTTGAAACCTCAATATAATCCTATTTTTTTGTATAAGAAAATTACATAAACTATGGGCATACTCCCTTGGTTTTGGTTTCAGAAATTTAAACCAAGACTACTTCTTTGTTAGATGAAAGCAAAACTTAACTGAGAAGGACAATGAAAACAGTGATTGAAAACATGTTTTTTCATCTGACTGAGAAAGTTAGCACTTGAGGGAATTAAATTGTGTTTGTTTCAGGACTTTTGGTGGGCAATGCTCTGCTTGGCAAGCATTTTGCTTCAAGTGCATTTTTGTATGACCTTTCTGATTGAGAGCTTCAGAAAATAAGCTGTAGAGAAGGGAGAAAGCAAAACTCAAGAGTTCCAGAAGAAAATATCAAGTCCCAGCTGAAGAGATCTAATCGCTCTTGAAACATCTCAAAATGTGTCAACCATATTTAGAAATAGCTACATGAAAAAAGAAGAAAGCTTGATCCTTTTAACACTGTAAATCATGGAAAGCAGTGAAAACTAATATTTATGGGGAGGGATTGTGAAAGCTTGTGTGACAGTTGGAAATTACATCACTGTTGATGTTTCAAATTCTTGTGTAAAGTAATGCAATACTGTGTTTATGAATGAATGAACAAAAGATTGTGCTGTGCTAAGCATACTCTATATGGATAAACTGGTTTGAGCTATTCTATCTTTTGTCTTCATTTATGTTACTTTGCAGTATACAGTCCTGTATGTTTCAGTGTAAATACAGAAACTCAGCTCTATGTATTTTTTATTCCAGATACAGACCCACGTGTATTAGAGAAACAAGAGCTTCAGCAGCCAACCTATGTTGCTCTAAGTTACATTAACAGGTAAGTGTGGTTATTTTTCAGGCTAACTGATCATGGTTTGCACGATATGTGTATATATGCATATGCCAGAATAACATACTTGTGTATGCACTCTGTTTTGATTCATGTTATATGACACTATGATAACACCTGTTTTGGAAAGACAGTTGAATTAAAATTTAACTAGATTTTTAATCACTTTTACATAGGTCACAAGAAGCCCTTCAGCTGCACCACTCAAATACTTAGGGGGGGGGGGGGGGGGTTTAACCATGGGACACCAGTTTTCTTTTGCATCTTTGCTGTCTAGAGGATGAGATACAAACTCACAAGCCTGGAAGATTAACCCAAAATTTAATTTAGGGTAGACTGAGTTGATTCAAACTCTTATGGATCATACATAATGCAAAATTTTTCTTTCTAATTCTACTTCACATTAAAAATGGAAAATAGAAAAAAAAACCCACACCAACCTTTACTCGAACACAGGATCCACTCTTTGGCTTTGTATATTTGCTGCAGAGGAAGGGTGTGAGTGGAGGGGAGAAAGATGACTTTGAGTTATGAAAGTAAGAAGTAGCATTCACTTGGTGAAATGACTACATTTTCTCCGCTACATGAGACTATAATGATTAAGAATAGATGGTATTGGCATGATTTCCTACTTGGCAAGTAACTCCTGTTCTTCCTGGAGACAGTCCTACCCTTTAAAGCATATTTTGAAATTGACCATGACCCTTTTTAAAAGTTATTTCTGTTGATCTCATTTAATGTATAAAACTTTTTTTTTTCAATACGTAGGTTTGGTATGCTGTGTATGTTGGTATGTTTCCCTCTTTCCATTATATACTTGGGCGTTTTCTCTTGTTGCTTCTGGGGTTATTTTACTTAATGGGAGGGAGGAGGAAGTTTTTTTGAAAATTAGGGAAAAGCTGTTTTAAGACCACAGAAAGCGCCACAGGACTTAATTGTCTGATTTGGAATCAGACTACTTTTAAAGTAGTTTGAAAGTGATACCTCATCTAGATTTCATAATTTTGGTACCTTTTTTAACTGAGTTCCATGTGACTGAGACAGTTTTAGTTACTGCATATTTTGTCGAAACTTTCTTACCCTTTCAATTCTGAGAAATAATCCTTCAGAACTGAATCAAGTTGTTCCTATAGTAAAACCTAATCTGAGTTGACTCTTACTTAAACCAGCTGGTATTTAATTGCTCTTTTAATTGTATTTTAATTTTTTCTAAAGTGCTGATGTCTTTCATTGAACCACCTGCTCTATGCAGCTCAGGCTCTTGAGGGAGCAGCAATATCCATTACACTTAGAAGACATGCCTTTCTATTTCCCACTACATATGCCAGATCCAAGTTCTGCTTTGTTGTCCCAGGCTATGAACTCAGATTTTGTAGCCTAATACATGTCATAAACATGTTGCATACTGTTAGATATCAAACACCAGATACTGCTGCACTTTTTTTAAACCCATGCTTTTATGGCTTCCAAGTGGAACTGAACTTAGTTCAGTTCCTGCTGTGAGTTCCAGACCTTAAAACAATCTTCCTCTGCAGGTTTGTATATTCAATATGTTCTGTGTAGGCTGTATGCTGTTGTGGAGCCTGGGAAAATAGGGACTTCTGATTCTCAGGGACTGTTAAAATTGTATGATAAGATGTACACTTAATATATGTTGTGGGAGAAAGATTAAGTGGGTGTGCTTTATGCTCTGCCCATTGCCCTGTTGTATGGTGGCCATTATAAGCTAAACCAAAACAGAACATAAATCTGGGTTGTCTGGTTTGATAGCTGGGAAGGATAAGGTATCAGTAAAGCAGACAGAATATACAGAAGAGTGCAGGAGTCTTCTGTTTACAACGTGAAAAATACTTTCATTTCCATTTCCCTTCTACCCCTGGTTATTTTCTCAGGAATATTAATATGGCAATATTGTATGTGCTCTTAAGTTCTGAAGCAACCTTCAGAGTATGGATGTCTGAATCTGTAAGGCTCCCTGTCTTTCTCTGCTGGAGATTTACTGCCATCACGGCTTTCAGTAACTACACACAGATGCAGCTTCCATAGTGTGTGATCCTCATGTAGACAGATAACATTCCTTTTAAAATTGGTGGACAAATATAAATTATAGGTCATAATGGTTTATTATCGCTACATCAAACACTTGCACCAGGCACTGACTGAATTGCTGCAAATCCTTTTCTCAGATGAAGTTTAGTGTAGCCTTAATGCAGTCTCCAGTATTGGTGATTGTTCCCTACTAAATTTTGGGTTGCTTTCTTAGAAGTCAAAATTGGAGTCAGTAAGACACACTGCTGCCAAAGCAGATGCAGTTCATCTGCTTCCATCCTATAAATACAGGAGTGGTTTGTCTGCAAGGAGTTCAGTGGTGCTACTGCATGCATGGGATATTGGCTGTGATCTGTTAGGAGTAGTTGCAAATGAGCACTTGGGCCAACATCCTCCAGTACTTTCTAGAGGTATTTCCTTTGCATATGGGTCAAGACACCTTTATATTTTGTATCGCATTGAGATGCAGTGATTAGCAGCAATAATTAATATTGCTTATGCTACCACTTAGATTCAGTACTTATAGCTTTAAATTAATTAACATGACTATGAATTTTGCTTGGTGTTTACTGGAACCTATGTAGTGCTGTTTGTGTCTCCGAGTTTGTTTGTCTGGGACATTGGCGGCGGTGGTTCTCGTTTGCTGTATTGCCGTGGATTGGGAAGCCCTAGCGTTGCAATATACTCTTAAGGGTTTTAAGCTTGTGCAGTCTAATGGAGAGCGACTCCTCAGTATTTGCATATTCAAAAATTTGTTTAATATGGATACTGCTGGTTACCTGTTAGTGATGAAAGCAGCTGTTGTGGGAACCGGTTGGGGTTTTTTATAAAACAAAATAAACATCCCAGCATTGTTAGCATAAGTGAGGAGACAACAGAGGCATACAAATACTTCCTCTGGCTAAAAAGGTAATACTAAAAAGCAAAATACTGAAAATAAAAAGCTTTGATTCTAGAAGTCATGAATGAAAAATCCTTTACAATTACATTTTAAAGCAGGTTTTCAGCTTTGAGATGGTAAGTACCAGAAATAAGAAGGTGGCATAATTTATCAGAGTAAATTCCTTTCACATTGAAAATAGAAGGTGGGAAGTGCCATAAGTAACTTGTATTATTGGAAGCATATGCCATAAGAAGAGCAATTAAATGTGCATTTAATAAAGTTCCTATAAAATACATTTTCCTTAGATACAGAAATTGCTTTGATTAAATTTTCATCATGGTGAAGAAAAAAGGAAACTAGAATGCACCTACAACTGAAACTAAGCTGCCTTAATTATTTAGTGTTTCTACTGGAAATCACATAATAGCTATATTAGGGAAATGCTGAAAACAAAGACTGTTGTAATCTTAAAATTTTTTAAAAGCTACCAAAATACTTTTAATTACATTAATCCTGGGTTCTTTTTTAATAGTGATTTTCTGTTGATAATTGAGATCGTACAAGAAAGGTTAGATAATAAAATAGGTTTTAAGCATCATCCTTCAAGCAGTTACAGCACACTGGGGTGAACATTTTCAGTGTTGGCTGTGGACAGTCTGTTAAATTAAGCTGTTGAATGTCTGTAAAGTTTATTCTTGTGCATAACTGGGAGCACAAATGAAGCCTGTAATCAAAACTGGATAGTGTTCTTGGTTGAATAGTCCAAGACTGTCCTTGCACATCCCTGAGCCAGTCCTAACATTTTTGCTTCTCCCTCCAGATTTTTAATTTTGCTAGTTAAATTTTGCCTCACTGTTACCATTATAAATTCCTGTTGGCTCCAGGCTTCTCCCCCCATTTCCCTTTCCTTCCAATGGTTGTTGACTTCTGAAGAACAAATTTCCCTACTCTACTTCCTTTTTAATACTACTAGAAGTAGAATCAGTTTTCTGTGGGCATATGCATTTGTGAAAGGAATTAAAGTTCTAACCACTGCAAAATGCCCTATGTCTTGTCCAGCTCACTAATTCTGGTTCTTTTGCTATTACCTATTTTTTCCAGGAGTAAAATTAACAGCCAGCACCACAGGATTTAATGATCACTTGAAAGTTATTTTAAAAAGTGGTAAGACTTTATTAGGCAGTGATATATTTGGTATGCACTGTGTTACTAATGCAGTAACAAGAATAATGTTTTGGATTCAGAGTCAGTGCCCTTTGACTACATTGGTGTGGTTTCTTAGCATCCAAGTTGTGTGATACTTTATTTCTTTGGCCTTAACTTTATTTTTTTTCAGATACTGTGCTCAGTGCTGCATAGAAATTTAAAGTGATTCTTACTCCATTTTATACAGGAGGTTCGCTCTTGCCGTTGGCCGCTCTCTTTCATACCAGTTCTTTATCACTGGGGATATCTTCTGCTGTGTGTTCAGTGGGTTTCCTCTGACAGTTGGTTCTGTGGATGCTTTTAGTTACAACAGTTAAACATGCTTTTGGTAAGTGTAGTGATTTATGTTAAAGCTACCTAGCAGCATCCACAGTTTTGTAACACATTGTGCGCTTTTTCCTGTGGTTCTGCTATGACATTTCCCTATCAGCAGTAGTTAAATAAGAAGCTAATGAAAGCCTGTAGCCTGTCAGAGGTCATACCCAGTAGCTGAATGTGCCACCAAAAACCTCTCTAGAACATTTTCTCAGCAGCAGTGCAAATCCTGTTGCTTCCTTTTTTTGTAAGAGCATGAGCTTTTTTTGTATAACGTGTGGAATACCAAGATTCAGTTTCCTCCTTAGGAGTGTTTTAATCATAAGACTATTAACCAGCTTGCAGTAGGACATCAGTTCTCATCTTGACACTTCTTCTTTTTGCCTCTTGATTTCAGTGTACTGTTGTTGGAATGCCTGTTGGGGCACGGTTTGGAATCAAACTTAAAATCATGAGGCTGGAGAGAAGTAAATTTATTTCTCCTTACTTGCTTTCTTAATGGATGCTTTTTCAGGAGGCATATGCAAAATGAAAC